CCTAACTGACTGCGTGATACGCGTTACTGTAGTGACTCGAAGCTAAATTAATTTAAAATGAGATATTTTTAGATTTGCTTCGTCCCATTCGGCTGATCTTGTTATTTATAGGTATATCAGTGTAGTAGGCTGAAAACAGGTTTCTTTCGATTCCTCAAGCTCAAACTGGGGTTAGCTTCTGAATCACTTTAGGTATATGTATTGTCACATAGGAACATGTATATAACATTTTTAGAGTCCCTAGTGCTAATAACTCCATTAATATAATTTGATATATAAAGAACTACAACATATATTATTACATTATTATTGTATATTATTCCTATTTTTATAAATTGGAATAAATTTCAGTTCAAATATACATATGACACTCCTCTCAAGCTCTTAGATATAAATATGTGTATGACATATATTTTTTTTACCTAGAGTAACAGAAAATCTCTTGTAAATTTCAAGTGGTTTGAAAAAGAAGCTTAAACAGGAATATTTAAGAGAGAACAAAAAAACACACACATATAGAATTTCTACGTTAGACACGCCCGCCCATAATCGCAATATACATACATACATTAGATTTCAATATACATACATATATTTTAAATTGAATGTCTCTTGCTCTGAAGTACAAACACCTGGACAATCATCAATCAAAACCAATATACTCTACTCACTTCCTGCACGAGTATAAATAGCCACCTGTTGCAGATGCCGGCCGCAGGCGGTCGAGGCTGTGACATCAATTGCAATTGAAAACAAAATATTGTACAAACTATGCTCTTCGCGAGTCGTTCAACCTGTCTGACCGTCTAGTCTAAACGAAATGCGACCAAGCCCCACTCCCAGTTCAACTGCAACTCCAAGTCCAAGTCCAAGTCCAAGTCCAAGTCTGTGTCCAGGCTGAGTGCAGTAGCCTATTTTGGCCAGTGAATGTGAATGTAATAAATGCCACAGATTACGTGATACATCGATGTTGACAACTTTAAGTAAGAAACTGGAAATTTTCACTTGAAGAACAATTGAGGCCGTTCAAAGCCAATTGGAACTCAGTCTCAATGTATTTAACTGGCAAAAGAGTTCAGCTAACAGATATGACATACTTTTTTATTTTTTTGTTTATATATAACAGCCTATAGAACAGTTTATAGAACTGTTATACTACTTACTAAATATTTTTGTTGTATATTTACACTTATGAAAAAAGTTGTATATACAAAATTAGTATCTGATCTCATTTCTTCTTTTTTTTTTTTTTTAGTACTTTTTAAATTTAGAAGATCTTTTAATAGCGGGTATTTGAATATTTTGCTAATTGTTACGCCCTAGTTTGTAGATAATATTACTTAATTAAGGAAAAAAAAATGCACTAGCATGTTTCAAGTCTTAATGGAGCTTCGGTTATGCATGCAGTCACACGAACAGCATGACAGACAGGCGGACGGACATGCGGCAAAACGATCTTCACTTATAGCCAATAGACTCTTTCTACTAAGCTACCTTCTACTAATTCTTCAGCAGACTAGAAGAAACTGAGGAAATTGTCATCACATCATCATGTCCATTGTGCTTCGCCATATGCAGGCTAGCAAAATCTGCCTCCCTTTTGCTGTCTATGCTTGGCTATATGAAAATCCTAGTTTGACCTGCTTTCAATGACCTTTCGTGGATGGTCCACCGTTAATCAAGTCAGAATTGAACTTATGGCACCTGGAAATTGTGTCATTTAGGCGCTTCAAGCGATGGCACACTTACTTTCCTCACGGCGACCGAAACGGGTTAAAGTGAATTAAAGAAGCTTAGCGTGGGCTAAATACAAGCTTAAAAGGAAAATGATTGATTTATTTTGCTGAAACTGAAACCAGTTAAGATGCAAAATATTTAATAAGAAGTCAAATAATAAATAAATAAAACGTTGCTGTTTCTGCTGCTAACCAAATCAAAGCTGAATTTTTGTGTGAATAATTAAATTTTCAATATCTTCTATGTCCTGTTAGCTATAGTTCTACAAATTATTGTAAAGTTTTTTTCGCCTGCCTCTGCTACCTCCTGGTCCTTCTTTTCTTCATTTAGAATTATGAATAAGCTTCAATATATTATAAAGCTTTAAACTCTCAGACTGAAATTTCGACATCTATTAATTTATATATTGTTTGTATTAAGATATAATATTATTTTATTTGTACTGCTTAATAATTTCCTTTTTTTATTGAAATATACGCAATCACATATAAATTCCTGCTTAGATGATATAACAATTGCCTTTTGAGCGACCCTTCCAATCTGCATTATGTCACATCATATTCAATCGCTAGCTCTGCACAGAATCAGTGATGCGTAAATAGCTCAAATAACATAAGTTTGCTAAGCGATTATCTGCGTCGTTTCCTAGATATGATTTTCAGCTGAGCATGTTTGCATAATTTTAATCAGTTTTCGCTTCTCGGTTGCAGTAATGGGCCGCGCATGGGGCTGCCGCTGAACATCCACAATCCGTTGACCCTGTACAAGGGCGGCTTCAGCAAGCAGCGCGAGACGGTGTTCATAGTGCACGGCTTCAATGGGACGGCGGTTGACATGCATCTGCAATTTTTGCGGGATGGTTAGTGAGTATGGAATAGTTGCGCCGATCGACGACTGAAGACCTTTAACACGCCTCATTGTCTTTGGCTTTAGCATACTTGTCGCGGGAATTCAATGTGATAACTGTCGATTGGCGTCCGTTGACACGTTATCCGTGCTACCTGCACTCGCTGATTAACACGCGCTTGACGGCGCAGTGCACCGCCCAGGTGTATTCGTTTCTCACGCACTATGGCGCGGAGCGTGAGAAAATCACCTGTGTGGGCCATTCACTGGGCGCCCATATCTGCGGCATGATCAGCAATCACTTGACGATGAAGCAATATCGGATCATTGGGCTGGATCCAGCGCGTCCTCTGATTGAGCGCAAGAAGAGCAATCGATTCCGACTGTCGCATGATGATGCCAGTGTTATACAGGTGCTCCACACAAATGCCGGCTACCTTGGCCAGGAGGACAATACGGGACATCTCAACTATTGTGTGAATGGAGGCCGAGTGCAGCCGTACTGCAAAGGAAATCCGATTAGTGAGAAAAATATCTGTATAAATATGTAACTAATTTAACGACTTTCATTTCAATCTACCGAAACTTAGGACGCTCTCGCTGCTCACATTTTCTGAGTATTTGCTACCTGGCCTCAGCCACCATGAAGCATTCCAAATTTATGGGCGTGCCCTGCCCAAATGGCTGTGTCAATGTATCAGGGCCTAGACGTTTGCCAGTTAACGGTAAAGTGAACCCCTTTGAGTTTGTATCGTTGCTGCGAGAATATAAAATAGGAAATGATGCGCCAGACGAGTAAGCTAATTTGTACTTCAGATTTTATTTAACAATATACATATTTTATTTAATTTCAGAGCACGCGGCTGCATTTGCATTGATGTACCTTTTGCAAAACATTGTCCTTTTGTGGATTAATAGAATTAATTAATATATAAGTCATTGTAAGGAAGTTATTAACAATAAAATGTAGAGGATATCACACAACGGTAATTTAAATTTTTACCTTGGCGCCAAATGCCCGGGAAATTGCACTTTTAGGGAAATTGTTATTCTAGGGAAATTGTCGTGTCAACAGCACAACAGAAATACCGATATATACCGATACCGAACAGACATGCAGTCTATCGATAATTCCACATCTCTAATTTGCCATACAGTCAATAAAAACAACTGATGTGGGAGAAAAACACATAAATAACAATAAATAATAAATTTGTAGCTTTTATCTGATAATAATATAAAATGGGATGCGATGGAGGTACCATACCAAAACGTGATGAGCTTGTGCGAGTTAAGCAAAAGCCGGAACAGGTAAGAAAACTACTGACATACCAACCATTCGCTTTCTCATAGTGAAAACTTACAGAAAGACAAAGATGCAGAACGTGAGTTTCGGTGGCTGCACTGTGCGCTGACCCAGCAACGTTTGGAGGAGCCCATTGCGATGTGTTCTATGGGACGCCTCTACTCCAAACTGAGTGTCATCGAGCGTCTGCTGGAGAAGGAGAAAATGCCCGAAGGCTCAGCGCACATACGCAGTCTGAAGGACATCAAGACGCTGCAGTTGACTCCAAATCCTGCATTCACTGATGAGGACAAGACCGAGGGTCTGCTGGACACACGCCATGCGCCCTATATATGCAAACTAATAGGCCTGGAGATGTCGGGCAAGTTTCGTTTCGTGGCGCTCTGGACCTGCGGCTGTGTCATGTCAGAGCGTGCCCTGAAACAAATTAAAGGCAGCATGGCCAGTTCTTGTCCACTGTGCCAGGTGCCCTACAGTGTGGAAGATGTAATTGTGCTGAATGGCAACGATGAGGATCTGGAGCTAATGAAAGTCAAGAGTGAAATGCGTGAAGCCAAACGCAAGTCTGCCAAGAAGGATAAAAAAAACTCAAAGAAAACTGAAACAGAAGCGAGCGTCAAGGCAGAAGCAAAAGATGAGCCAGCCTCCACTTCCAAAGGAGTAGAGAAGCCCACTACCACCAGCAGCAGCAGCACCAGCCACAAGCTGAAAATTGTGGCCAATCCCAAACGCCTGGGCGCCGTCAATGCTATGCAAGACCCAGAATTGAAGCGTCTTAAAACAGATTTTAGCGTAGCGAAGGATCCGAAGGCTACCGACGTGTACAAATCTCTGTTCACCAGCCACAAAACTGATAAGGAACAGGAGCGCGCTCACTGGATCACCTACAATCCATTCTACAATTAATGCCAGAGATGTCTCAAACCTGATTTGACAAGGGAGAACTCGCCCACTGGTTCGGCTACAATTTGTTTGTAAATTAGAATTCTATATAGACTTAAGATCTGAGTTCAGTTTGCTGTACGCTTTCAATCACAATATCCTCAAAGTAAAAACAGAAACAGTAGGTACTGTTTCACTTTAGTATATGTAACTGATTCTTACACGAGAGATTTCAATATGTATCGCTCGTCCTATCAAAAGGGATTCCTGACGGTTCTTTACAGCGTGGGCAGCTCCCCGCTGGATAAATGGTCCACATATGTGAGTATACGGCAAACGCTGTCTAATAGACATCTATAAGAATTCAATATGCAGACAAAAAATGGTTATATCAAACGCGTTTACGATGAGGATATCAAATCTTTGGTGCTGGAAATAATGGGATCGAACGTCTCGACTACATTTGTACATTGCCCCAGCGATTGCAAAGCAGAACTGGGCATTAAGCTGCCATTTCTGGTGTTGCTCATAAAAAATATGCATAAATATTTTTGCTTTGAGGTTAAGGTGAGGCTGCAGAGCTATATGCAATGTTAGATCTGATTCGAAATCCGTTTGTAGATCCAGGACGATCAGCGCTTTATGCGTCGCTTCCGTGTATCGAATTTCCAGAGCAAAACATCTGTGAAGCCCTTCTGCACAGCCATGCCCATGGGCATGTCGCCTGGCTGGAATCAAATACAATTCAATTTGGCCGACTTTACACGTCGCGCCTATGGCTCGAACTACTTGGAGACTGTGTCGCTGCAGGTGCACGCCAACGTGCGCATCCGACGCGTCTACTTCACTGACAAGCTTTACACTGAAGCCGAGCTGCCCAATGACTATCGTCTGATGGGCAAGCCCAAGGATCTGAAGAAGGAGAAACAGTTTAAGGCACCGCCCACCGCTCGTCCACCATCGCCTCTGAATACGGCACGTGCCGAGGCGGCAACAGCCAAAACCGAGGAGTCGGCGGCGCCAGTGGAGACAGATACCGAAATGGAGATGGGCGCTTCCGACGCTGGCAAATCGGCCCCGCCGGAAACTGCTGAATCTGATGCGGCTCCAACAGAGGAGCCGCCGGCACAGACCGATGCCACCGAGGAAGCCTATTATTAAGATATTTCTGCTGTTAATGTTCAAATGTTCAGTTATATGTTTAGATTGTGCACGCAACTGGAGAGAGGCCCAGGCCAAGGCCGAGTAGCAGCTAAATTAGCTAGTCGTAGGAATACAAGAATCGATTAAAAATATAAATTCCGTTTTTGTTTCATCTCGTTAGGGTGGGTAAAGAATCTTTAACTGGCAGAAGCATCAGGCATCATATTTCGTATAGTCAGCTCAAGGGATAACCCTATCCATTCAAACGATCTGCTGAAGTCCTCTCTTTAGAGCACCGTTCGTTCTCTTTTCTCCTGTACTGGAATACCAAAAGAGTCATTATGAAATTACCCAACGGATTTGTCGATCGTCTCTCAGTTTACTTTATTTTGTGTAATTGATATATACTAGGAATTCACAACTGATTTAGGAGGTGCATGGGACACTTGGTAACTACTGTTGGGCACATAAGAGGAACAACTAAAGTACGATTCGTAGACATAATAGTTTATTGATTGCAAGACTCATGACTCGAAAACAAACTTCACTGCTTCGTTCAGAATCCGTCGTCTAAATTTTGCTAATAGGTAAACCTTAAAAAAAACTCTCACGCTTGTTATACGGAACTTTCGGTTTCTTTGGGCGCAGCTAGGATGCGATGGCTTCGTTGGCGATGCTCAACATTTCCGTATCGATGTTTTTAAGCGCGTTGTGATACTCTGTGATCTCCAGTGCTTCCCATTCGGCTTTGAAGGCCGCCTTCGGATCCTGGGGCATGGTCATTGCTGCGCCGGTCATTGCATCGGCCTGGGCTTGTGTCTGATCCGCGTGGTTGTTCTCGCCGAGCACAAGCGTGTAAATGGAACGCAAGCCAAAGACGTTCAGGAAATACCATGAGGCTGACGACACCCAGGCAGCATCCAGGGAAGCCAACTCAACGCCGCGCTGCAGCATAGGCTTGAAGCGCAGTGTGAGAGGGAATGGAACTTTGGTGGTCACAAAGCCCGAGAACATCCAATTGATCCAGCCACCAATAACGACCATGGGCAGCACATTTATAAAGTTGCCCTTGACCATGTCAGTCAGCATCGCCGAAGAGTTTTGTGCGACCGGCGCACGTTTCTGTGTCTTGAAATATCCCGTCTCCTCGTTGTTGAAAAAGTTCTTTCTCATGGAGAACGACTGGGCACTCAGATATTTTCCATTCTCGCGCAGCAGCCGAGCGCGAATCATGGCTTGGCTGTAAGAAAGAAATTTCATACATAAATATTCAATTTTAATAATGAACCTTGCTCACCTGTCCATGATTTGGGTCATCTCTGCCTTTTTCTGCGTGGATATCAGAATGGAGACGTAATGGCGCACAATACCAACTAAAAATGTGATTAATACGATGGGCAAGAACACCCACACGCGTATATCGGGATCTATTAGAAGCTCCGTCATATTTAATTATTAATTAGACTTAATATTCAACTAAATTTTCAGCACCCGACGAATTTGGTGCTAGAGATGGATGTGTATAAAAAATTGAAAATATCGGACCTATCAAGTAGCAATGACTAACAATAATCGATTTGGCAGTAAATAATTTAAATGTAAAATATTTAAAGTTTTGTCTGACTAGTAAATAAAAGGGTATTGGAAAACCGTCTAAATTTCCAAATATATTTATAAATTATATAGAAAGTTACCTTATTTTCACACATTAAGCTTGTAACCGATTCCAGTACCCAACTATCGCCAATCGATATTATTATTATTTTCATTTATTCATTCATTTAAAATTTATTACAATATAATAGTAGATTTTTTAAGTAATCATATAATTTATACATTATCAGCTTATGGTACGTGTTTAATCATAGGTTTACAATTACGTTTTTCCAGAACAGTATTTGTTGGATATTGTCAGATCTTTGCCGTCATACACAATATTTTCATAGAAAAACTTGCGATTGACGCGACACTGTGGACCACATCTGGTTGACCCACAATTGCGGCACTCGTACCAACAGCCACTACATTGCTCGTTCATACAGTCGCAGACATCTAAGCCATTGGATCTTATATTTCCATATTCATCATATGCGCTGTTTTTGCCATTATAGCAAGTTTTCTTCTTGACTTTGCGCTTTGATCTTTCTGCTTCCGTACTGCTGTTATCGTCTATGGTTTCCTTTCGTTGTGGACGCTGTCGCAAGCTTCGAGCACTCATTGCTTTTATGTTTTCTAATAAATTTATATATATTTTGTGGAAAAACCAAAGTGGATAACCAATGCAAGATGAGCTTATCGATATTTATTCCAGCGATAAGCTATCGCACAACCCTTACGTTCGTAAAGCATTTTTTTTTTGTTTTTTCAGAATACGAATGCTCAGTGTGACCATTATAGTCGACTACATTGGTTCAACATATGACCAAGTTAAATACCTCCTGCGACGCCAATAAAATTGAATTCGATTTATTGAACGATCAAAGAGATTGGAACAATGGAGACCAAACCAGATTCGCCAGCAACAACAACGAATCCACCGCCAACGGCGGAAGCTACTAAGGAGACCAGCAGTGCCGCAGGTGCCGTTGCAGTCAATAGCAATGCACAAACGCCATCAACTTCAGCGCCAACAGCAGCAACCACAGCCCCAGCACCAGTCTCAGCCAATAATTCCAATTCCAGTACAGGAACAGCAGCGTCATCAGCTGCACCAGCATCGGTTACGACAGCCAGCACTGCGCAGCAGCCGCCGCCGGCAAAAAGGCCAAGCGCGCCAACAGTGACGCGGGCCGATCCCAGCGCTCTGCCTACACGACAATATCTCGATCAGACAGTCGCGCCCGTCTTGCTTCACGGTCTGCAGGCGTTGGCTCGCGAGCGGCCCACAGATCCCATACAATTTCTAGCCTCGTATTTGCTGAAGCACAGCAACGGCTATGAGGAGCCGGTGGCCACCGAAGCCAGTACTTAGATGTAGTGTCTCGTCTTTGTTCCCAACGTTGCCCCGTTGCCCTAGCTTTGTAAGTGAAAGTCCCTAATCAATGTTTAAAATTACAAATACAAATATATAATAATAATAAATCGCATCCGCGCACCATTCGCTTCATAAAATTTATTCCATTTAGGAAGTGATCGGGTAACCCCAGGGATCCAGTTTGTTGTTGAGCAGCTGCAGCGATGTGTCGGCAATCTTGACTAGCACCTCGGCCAGTTTCTGTTTCGTGTAGACCTTGTACAGCTGTCGACGCTCGTCGGCAATCTCATCCGCCAGTCGTATGCAGGCCGCATAATCGCCCGACTTGGCCAATACGTCGTGCAGCAGCAGCACAATCTCTGGCAGGCAAATAGAGCGCAGTTTCTCCAGCTGTAGGAGTCGGTTCTCCCAGTGCAGCTGTGCTGCATTCTCCGGCTCCTTCGGGATGAAAGGATCGCTAAGCCAGCCCTTTTCAGGAAACAGCAGCACATTGAACAGGGCATCGGTGGTCACTACATGAGAACAGAGAGATTAGAATTTGTTGGAATAGGGTTGGACACTGTTCTTACGCTTGGATTGTTCTTTGACCTTTTGCTCCCAGCGTGCCAGCTCCGTCATGTATGTTTGTTCCTTGTGCTGCGCACTCATGCGCTCCGTAAAATTGTCCTGCGTGGGGCCGGAGTTCTGTGTGTCCTTTTGCGGTGGCTGGGGCCGGGCCTGCTGCAATCGAACCCATTCATTGAAGCTATCCACGCCGGACAGGTAAACCTTGTAGCACAGGAACTCCTTCAGGCTGCACTCCTCGCGGGGTCCCAAGTTGTCCAGGGAGCCATAAACCGTGATCAGCTGATTTGTCACGTCCGCGGGCACCATGGAAAACACCTCACGCACACACTCGATCTTGTTGCAGGCCAGATACTGACGCATCATGGCATTCGCTTGCCAGAGCAGCTCACCTCGTTGCTCCAGCAAATGCAGGAGATACTCGAGTGAGTGAATCTTACGTTTGTCAACTGCTGAAATGGACCCAGTTGGGGGTTCACCTAGCGCGCTGGACGGAGCATTCTCCTGTCGCATGATCTCGACCGTATGGCGGGTGATTTGCTCAACATCCAGACCCGCCTGCAAAGCCGCATCCAGCGCCTGTTCCCGCTGTCGCTTCTGATCGATTTTAGTGAGAAACTTTGCATAGAGCTGCACCTGCAGCTTGTTGGGTAGGCCCGCCGTATAGTAGGCAATGGCCTGAGGATCTCCACGCTTGATCAACGTATCCACATAGGCGGCGATTATGCGTTCTGCCTGCTGCTGCTGTCCTTGCTGCTCCACTCTCCCGATCTGGCGCATGAAGAGCACAATATGCGCCATGAAGCGCAGCTGATGAGGCGGTAGGTGCGAGTCCTTTGGCACGGCGTCCAGCCAGCGGCACATATGCTGCAGCAGCTCGCCACAGGTGTCCAGTATGATGTGCTGCTGGATGACGCCCAGTTGGCTGTGGGCATAGTCCCGCACAGACACATCCTTGGCCACGCTCAGCTCATCGAAGATCTGCTCCAGGGTCATTTTGCCGTTCCAGTACTCGTCCGGCATGGGCTGATAGCGCTTCATGCAACAGCCGCGAATCTCGCTTTCGACTCGGATGTCTATCTGCACCTTCATGTATGCCCAGAGCAGATCCTGCCAGTTGCTGTGCAGCAGCGTCTTCAGCGCGCCCAGGTGGCCGCAGAAGACGGCCGCCGTGGCGCGTGTGTACTCATCATATTTTTTGGAGTCGGCCAGCAGCCAGGCGCAACGCTTCCAAACGTCGCGGCGTGGATTGCCTTCGATGGGCAACTTCTCATTAATCTGGCCCGGCACATGCTGCTCAAAGTTGGGATCCTCGTGCAGACGCCAGCCCTCCAAAATGGCCGCCCGCCAGGTCTGGCCAAAGTGCTTGCACAGCTTGAGCGCCTCGTCGATGTGCCCGCTGCGTATAGCTGCAAAAATGGCGCGACCCAGACGAGCGTTGTCTTCCATGTCCAGGGCGTGCAGTGGCTTGCCCTCACGCACCGGCGCATCCGGATCCAGTTGCTTGCATATCTCATGGCCACGACCAAAGGCAGCTCCCTGCAGATTCTCCAGCTGGAAGAGCGTGTTTTCCCAGGCCATCATGCGGTCGTGACTCTGCAGTGCATTCGCCTGATCC